GGCCACTGCACTCCAGTCTGGGTGACAGAGTGAGACTCCAACTAAAAAATAAAAATAAAAATAAAAATAAATAAATAAAATGAGGGAATATTTTTGTATGTAAATTATACCTCAAGCAGTTACAAATATAAATCAAAATTGTATAAGTATTATATTTTATGTTAGTAATAATAATAATAGCTGCTGTTTATTGAATGTCTGCTACTTGCTAGGCAGTGTGCAGAACACTTTATATACATTATGACGTTTCATTTTTTTAACGCTCCTAATGACTCTGAGCTATTTGGTATTACTATGCCAATTTAAGAAATGGGAAAACAATTAAAGGAGGCAACAGAAGGTAAAGGTTAAAGTATAGGTTTTTCTATAAAAAGATGTTCAGCATCACTAATTATTAAAGACATGCAAATTAACATCACAGTGAGATACCACCTTACACTCATCAGGACAGCTACTATCAAAAAAAAAAAAAAAAGGCCAGAAAATAACAAATGTTGACAGGAATGTGGAGAAACTGGGACCCTTGAACACTATTGGTGGGAACATGAAATGGTACGCCCACTGTGGAAAACAGTAGAAAGGTTCCTCAAAAAATTAAACATAGAATTATCATATGCTCCAGCAATCCCATTCCTGAACATATATTTGTGAAAAAACTGAAAGTAAGATTTTTGAAGAAATATTTGCACACTCATGTTCAGTGCAGCACTATTCACAATAGCCAAAGGTGCAAACAACCTAAATGTCCATAGACAGATGAATAGACCAAAAAATGTGTGTATCTACACATATATACCTGAATGTATATGTATATGTGTATACAGACACACAATGGAGAAATTTTCAGCCTGAAGAAAGGACACCCTATCATATGCTACAACATAGATGATCCTTGAGATCATTATGCCTAAGTCAGTCACAAAAAGATAAACACTGGTGGTAGTCAGACTCTTAGCAACAGCAGTGAGAATGGTGGCTGCCGGGTGCTGGGGGGAGCAGGAGAAGGGAGTTTTTATTTAATGGGTACAGTGTTTCCCTTTTGTGAGATGACTGAGTTCTAGAGATCTGTTGTACAAGATGGTGCTCATAATTAACAATATTGCACAGTCAACAGTGGTTAAGATGGTAAATTTCATGTTATGTGGGTTTTTTTTTTACCATAATAAAAGATCAAAATGAAATAATATGAGTGTGTGCAAGAAAAGATTTTTGTCTTCTATCACAACCATGTACATTTAGTGAACGGGCTGGCTTGCACGACTCAGTTGGTTTCTATATGCCTTTCTTTGCTACATGTTTGTCACTCACCGTATGTTTGCACAAGCAAAAGCACATTTTAAAATAAGTATGACACTGAGACATCTTATTTCATCCTATTGCCCCTATTTCCCTATTTTCTGCCTTCTTTCTTCTCCCACCATTCTCATGATACCTGGGACATCTGACTTCTTTGTAAATATCCTAAAAGGTGCTTCCCCATCTTATTTTATTTTATTTTGCCTTATGCATTATAAGTGTCTTTCTTACCCATTCTGGGTGTCTGCCTCTTTGGGATCCCTGGAAGTGAGCTTGCCAAGGAAGACCTTGCCTTCTGTTTCCATGAATAGGGATATTTCAGACACGCTAGCAGCCGTGCCCCGGTGTCGAGGGAAGAGCTGATGACAGTGCTGTCTAGACTGGCAGGTGTGCGCATCAGAGGCCTCCACTTCACGGAGACGCAGCGGCTCACCCTGGGTGAGGTGGGGCTGGAGGAGGCCTCTGACACAGGAAGTGGACGCGTAGCACACAATGTGGAGATATGTGCCTGCCCCCCTGCCTACGTGGGCGACTCATGTCAGGTAGGAAATTTTCCCCAGGGAGCTTCTGTGGCCAGGGCTTCTGGCTACTTTCCAGCACTGCAGGATGGTTTGGGTGTGTCCATTGTTTCTCTGTCCAACTTTCTGTTGGGCTTATATCTTACCGAGACTCCCTTCAGGAAATAAATGTGAAAAAGACATCAACAAATTTCACAGGAAAGCCACAGGAGATCAATAGATGCTGGAGGTTGGAATAATCAGAAGTAAGACAATAATATATAGTTTCAAATAACTAGAAGGATATTGAATGTTCCCAATACAAAGATATAATAAATTTTGAGACAGTGGACTTGCTGATTACCCGGATCTGATTGCTAGACATGGTATGCATTGAAATATCACTATGGGCCGGGAGTAGTGGTTCACACCTGTAATCCTAGCACTTTGAGAGACTGAGATGGGAGGATTTCTTGAGCCTAGGAGTTTCAGACCAGCCTGGGAAACATAGTGAGACCTTGTCTCTACAAAAAGATAAAAAATAAAAAAAGTTAGCCAGGCATGGTAGCTGTAGTCCCAGGAAGAAGGATTGCCTGGGCCCAGGAGTTGGAGGTTGCAATGAGCCATGATCATGTCACTGTACTCCAGCCTGGGTGACAGAGTGAGACTCCAACCCAAAAAAATAAGAAAAGAAAATAAACATCACTATCCGTCCCATAAATACATACAATTGTTATGTATCAATTTAAAAAACGAAATATTAACAAAGGAGCCTACCAATCAGCATTCCAGTATTTGAGTCCTTGTTTTCCTGATAGTTGATGGATGTGCTTATGTCTTTATTTTAGGGCTTCATTCAGTCACAACCCCCCACCCCCACCCTCCTTCCCCCACAGAGTTGAATTCCAAAGAATATTCTGGATACTGTGAGGGGATACCATGTTCCAATTTTCTAACTCTCAGCAGGTCCTCATTATCTGAAGTTCAGTTGACCAGAGTTGTTGTCCTCAGGTGATTAAAGTGTGCTATAAAATGAAACTAATAGCTTAAGCTGTGAACATGTTCTTTTTCTAAAGGAAAGAGGGAAACACAATGTTAGTACAGATAGTAGGAAATAGCAAACACTGGCACTCCGTGTACTCTATACATCCAAAGTATGTAAATTTAGCAAAACCCTTCACTTTCTTTCCTGGCCTTTTGGTAGCAGAAAACCCCAAGGTGATCTGCACCTAGAAGTTTCTACTTTTTAAACCTGCCAAAAATATCTTACCTGCAGTTTTCTGGTGACTTCCTGAGCTGTAACATTGAGCCCACAGGTTGCCTACATTCTTCCTCCTTCCCACCATCTTTTTTCCAGCCCGATCAAAATAGACAGCCCAGAGGAAAAAGTGGGACCTCTGGATTACCACCCTGTGGCCCAGCGCTTAGTCCCTGCCTGTGACTCAGTGTGTGGTTTATGGCAGCTCTAATCACCTACTGCTGTCTGTGGGGCTAGGTGGGTACAAGGTGATGCCTGCCCCACCTTGCAGGAATTACAGAGCGGCACGCTTACCTGCGGGACTGTTATGTGCACTCTGGCACAGGCTGACTCATGTGTGAATTTTAAAGGTGGGGCCCCCTACCGCAGACAGCCTTCCTTACCTGAGTCAGGCAGGCCCAGGCACTGAGCAGGAAGGGCAGGTATAAGAGGAAGAGGCAGAGGTTTGTGCGCAGCCAGCAGGACGCCCAGGGACCAGGATGCCCCCCGCAGCGAGGCGGTCAGCCTGTAGCCCGGGATGGCTGTGGATCTTTGGGGCAGTCCTGGGGCAGTGTCTGGGATACAATTCACAGCAGCAGCAAAGGGTACCATTTCTTCGGCCTCCGGGTCAAAGTCAACTGCAAGCAAGTTATGTGGAGTTTAGACCCAGCCAGGTAACCTCCCTTTAAATTTTGGTTTGGGATGGGGGTTTCCAGCTTTGTGACATTTTAAGTTAGAGTGGTTAATGAGAGAATGGGTGGGCTGGGGGAGGGGCAACGGCCTCTCTGTCTTTGCATTGACTGGCAGTGTTTATTACAGTACCTGACAGATTGTTCTCCTGAGCGATTAACCACAAACCCCATAAACATCAGCCCACCTGGAAACGCTGAGACAGTTAAGAGCATGCATGCTTGTGGGATGTTAATTTACTATGAAACTTAATGCCCTTTAGAGAGTAACCCAAGCCTCAGGACAAAAGAGTCCAGTGCCTATAGGTTTCCAAATTCTGCTTGGAAGAAAATTTACCCATGAAGAAAACATGAGAAAAAGAGAAATCCATGCTGAAGAAAAGTGATCAAAGTTTGCATAATACCTAACAGACTTGCTTCAATTTGCCAGGCATGCAGCATCAATAAAATTTGCTCTCTTTACTTAAACTTCCTGGATGTTACATGTATACTTACAGAGAAATAGATCCTGGCTGGTGAAATAGCCTTGGAAACTGGGTAGGGACATAATTTTATCATTTGTACTGCAAAAGTTCACTGGAAAGCTGAACGTGAAAAATCATCACAAAAAAAAATCTTATCTAGTTACAAAACCCCTTTATTGAAAGAATATACTGGGATATATTTAAAGAGAAAGTTTTAAATACAGTCTGAATACTTGAACTGAATTTTTTGTAAAATATGGTTTTGCTTGCTTTTTAAGAGATAAGAAAATGATTATATTTTAGTAACTGATAAATCCTTTGAGAGTCATATGATATATAACTCTTGCAGAGTCTTTTTTTTTTTTTTCCTGCTTCTAATCAAAAAGCAGCTTAAGATGGATGGCTTGGTTTTAATCAGGATAGACTATCCTCCCCCCAGAGCATATTTAATTAAGGCTTTGACTCAGACATGTTGTCATTAACCAGATCTATTTGTTTCTTTGAATCATCTGTTCTTCACCAAATACAATTATTTTATAAGCAGGTAATGTGCTATATGGTGATAATTATAAGGTACTTACCACTTACTAGCAAAGATTGTAGATAAAATCGTACCATCATTGACTGTATTTCATTCTCAGTTGTGCTTTCAGCAAAAGAACATTCCTTTCATATTTTGATTCCCCTTTAGACAAGCCTATTCATATAACACATAAGATAATCTATTTCTTTGCACTGTATTCTTTTGCCTAAACATTGCTCCTAATAGCTTAAGGGAACACTGTATTGGAAATTCTGGTCTTGTTGTGTAAGCTGTGCATTCACTGGTAATTTTGGAAGGAGTTCCTGTCAGCACCTGGGAGACTCCACCTGGGGAGCACATGAGGCTTCTGCCTCCTCCTCCTGTCAGGTGGTGTCTTCTGGTCTTCCACTTGACAGGTAGCAACCTTGATGGCCGTGGATAAATGAGAATGGGCCGTTCCGGTCAAGATTTCCTTTGATTACAGTTTCAGAATCTTTCAGATATATGTTCTATTTAAAGAGGATTAGGTAAAAGCCTATCCTTTTTATTTTGAAATATTAATTTTTCTTGATCCTTTAAAGATAGGGCATATAGGAGATCAGGAAAAAAAACTAGGGACGATGTCTGATTTTAATCTGTGCACTGATTATCTCTGCCAAAATAGAGAATATCTATAATTCTCTTTAAAAGTGGATACCGATATAATTTTTAATGGCTGGTATAGGATTTTTTTTGTCTATTGGAGGCATCTTTAACTAGAATTATCTTGAAAAGATATTAGTTCATGAGAAGAAAACTAATTATTTTCATTCACATGAAAAATAATCGCTTGTATAATATTATACTGGAGAGAGGCAATATACTGGAGATAGAAATAATTAAAGAACTATTGAACAAGAAAACAAGACAACCCAAGGAGACCACTCAGACGGAGTTGCAGTGTGTTTAACATGGACCAGACATTTGTGAACAGACATACGTGGAAACTCAAGCATACTCCTCTCTCTGGGTTCCCTGTTGGTCACAGACAAGGGAGTGGCAGTGAAGCAATTTCACCGGCTGTGCCATCGTTGTGTAGACTCCCATTAAGACTCCTTATTTCCTCACTCCAACTCCCACTCCTACACTGCCTCCCTCTACCAGCCTACAGCCACATTTGGGAGAGAGAGCAACTACCCAAAGAGAACTTGGTCTTGAAGTGATTTTCTTAAATGTCCTCCTCCCTAAGGACTGGGGTCCTGATTCTCTTTCCACTGCTTAACCCCCCTTCTCGCCCTCAAAACAATTGATGTGAGAAAGGGAGGAGTCCCCCTCACCCCCGCTCTCTGACTTCCCCGCCTCACTTGCCCGCTGTCTGACTTCCCCGCCATATGGCTCACACTCCCACCATGACTTGGAAACCAAACAGAACCCGACAGAAAAGCAAGTAGACCCCGCTGGTGGTTGAAATTAGAAATCCACACACTGACTGAAGGGAAGAAGATTGTTTTAAATGAAGGCTTCAGCCAGGTATGGGAGCACACACCTGTAGTCCCAGCTCCTCGGGAAGCTGAGGCAGAATGATCACTTGAGCCCAGGAGTTCAAGACTGTATGTAGTGCACTATAAGTGCCCCTGTGAATAGCCACTCCAGCCTGGGCAACATAGCAAGACCCTGTCTCTAAAAATAAAGTGAATACTTCATAGAATTGTCACATGTGTTGGATAGTAATTGTTTTCTTTCTTTTGTACTGATTAAACATTTTTGTTTGAAAACTAGGGTTGTAGCCCTGGATACTACCGGGATCACAAAGGCTTGTATACCGGAAGGTGTGTTCCCTGCAATTGCAACAGACATTCAAATCGATGCCAGGATGGCTCAGGAATATGTATTGTGAGTAAATTCATACACTACTGCTATCATCAGGCAATATGCTTCTCCCCATTTTCCCTTATTATGCCCTGAGTCAGCAGTGTCATGTCTCTTACCAAACCCTACACCGAGGTCACTATGTCGATATAGGAGGTTGCAGTGATAATAATAATAATTCCAGGCCGAATTATTCTACATTGTGTTTTTTTCCTCCATGTACCATCAAAAGAGAACACCTGTCTGAACAATAAGATTATACCTTAGCTTCTAAATCTCTGCTTCACTAAATGATATGAGTGGGTGGATCTTGGGATTTAATTCTTGTCAGGATATAATCAACCAGGGCCGTTATTCTGGGTCTCAATTTTGTGGGCGTGGAGGGGCTTGTTGCAGCCAGATAAGCAATAACTCAATAAATAAAGCAATGGGAGAAGAAGGAGCTGAGAAAGGCTTGAGGCTCTTATGCAGTCATTCCAACACAAACTCTATCATTGCCGAGACAGAGTGGGATTTGGGAAAGACAGGTGAGGGGAGGATATGGATGATGGAAAGTCCCACCTCACCCCTCCCTTCCTCATGGCATCCTTGGGCTACTTGTGCCCTTTATTACTGTTTTGTTTTGTTTCGTTTTTTCTCAAGACATCAAGGCAGTCTTGGATGACTGTAGTTTATCCACTGGAAGATGATCTTATTTTGGAATATTTCATACAAATTCTCCCCCATAAAATTAGTTGCTTAGGAAATGTTTCTTTTGCATCCTGAAGCAGAACCATTTTCATTCTGCTTTTCTAAATCCCTGTCATCAGAGTTCTCTCTGGTGGCCAGAGCCTCCTCAGTTAGGAAGGACAGGTAAGGGAAGGAGAGAGCGTCAGCACGCCCAGGAATACAAACCCCCTGTTGTGTAGTGTTCAATGGGAAATGCACCCTCTGGCACAGATTTCCTGGGTGTTGTGTAATGCAACCAGAGTGTGTCAACTATTTGAGTTCCTAGACTGTTTTAAGCTAGCTCGTTCTGCATGGCCCAGGGAACAGCTTCCTCTGCAAGATGGGACAGGTCAGAACAGGAAATTGTTGTAAAGAGCCGCCTAATAGAATATTTTGTTGGATTAGAAGCTTATAAGTTCAAATGAATAAATAAATAAAATAAAAGGCATTGAGAAATAGTGTTTTTCAGCTTGTGTTCCTATATAATAATTTATGTTTGACGCATAATAATGTATGTTGTGTGTAACACAGGTAGATGCTGGAACTAAAAATAAATATCTTATTTGCATATCTTGCCATTGCTAGATGTCAAGTCCACCTTATAACAGCTGCCAAAGAACAAAGGAAATTTTCTTTAAAGCCCATTCACCCAGTGAAAGGATAACATGTGAGAGTCATAATTTGTATTTTAATCAAACAAGATTTTCTTTCCCATCCCTTTCTTGGTAGCTGTCTTCACTTGTCCCTAATGGCCACGTGGCCTTGAGACTGTTCATTCAGGAAATCCTTAATGAGCATCTGCTAGTGTGGCAGGTACTGAGCTAAGTGCTAGGGTTGAAATCATCAAACATAATCCTTACCCTCAAGAGGCTTACTGTCTGGTGGAGAAACACACACACACACACACACACACACACACACACACACACACACACAATTGAAGCCCGCGTGTGCACTCAGTTGCTCCATAGCAAGTCTTGAGTGCTGGTGCTGCTCTGAAACTCGTCCATTGCGTGGAAGCCAAGGTTGCAACTCTCATTCTCAAAGAACAGTTGCGAGGAAATCAAGTACCTATGAATAGCAAATGGGTTTTCCACGGATTCCACTGCAAACTGACTTCCACCTCTCAAGGTCTAAAGTAAATTTTTAAAATCAGGCACCTTCACCATGTGCCTATCTCTGTGTCATTTCAAGAATAAACTTTGCAGTTTAAAAAGATATAAAGGGGGATGCCTAAGAAAACCCAGAACGAGTTTATTTTTAAAATTATGTCTTTATTTTTATGTGTTTAAACTTCATTTGCCTTCAAGGTACTGTCTATTTGTTGCAATACACCTATTGAGATGATTTTTCTTTCTTTTTTTTTTAACTTTTGTGTGTGTGTGTGTGTGTGTGTGTGTGTGTGTGTGTGCGCGTGCGCGCGCGCGTGCTTTGTTATTTATTTATTTATTTACTTATTTATGAGTCGAAGTCCCACTCCATCGCCCAGGCTGGAGTGCAGTGGAATGCTCACAGTCCCCCCAATGTCCGCCTGCTGGGCTCTGGCAATCCTTCCACCTAAGCCTCCCAGGTAGTTTTTTTTTTATTATTTTTTTATTTTTTTAATGTCGGGTACAATTCAGGGTTAGGTATAAAAACGAGACACTTTTTCCACTGCTCAAAACAGTTTTGGGACTCATCCATATTGATACTTTCTAGTGTTTCTACCTTTTTTGTTTCACCTCTTCCACACTGGCCAAACATTTCCCTCTGAGGACTTTTTTCATCCAGAGAAACAAAAAGAGTCCCTGGCGCGAGACTGAGTAGATAGGGAGGAGCACGGGAGTCATGCCATTTTTGATCAAAAACCGCTGAACACTCAGCATGGTGTGGACAGGTGCATCGTCAGGGGGGAAGAACCAGTCATCTGTTTGCCAGGACTCGGGCTGCCATGCAGCGTCTCTCAACAATAGCTGGTACACTGATGCTGATGGGTTCCTAGGGCACTTCCTTACCTTTTGGCCCGCCCTCCAAAAGATAATTCTGGGTTTTCTTGTCTTCCCCTCATACGGAGCCTAGTTCCTTGTGGGAACAGCAGTATGTGTCCAGTGTCCAGGGCAGGAGCAGCAGGTGGTACGTTATATAGGTGCCACCAGCCGGAGGGACCTGCAGGGATGGCTCCCTGGTCCCTCCTCAGGCCCCTGCCTCTCTGCTTGCCCTCCTTTCTCCTCATATTTTCTCCTCTCCCCCAGCTCCCTTTACTGTCTGCTGGCTCTATCACCCCTTATTTTCCTCTCTGTTCCCGTGTCCCTCTCCTTTTCTCATCTTTTTTCTTCAGTTTCCTTCTTTTTATTCCCTGCCACATGAGTCTGCCTTTCCCCCAGCCCCAGAATGACTCATCTTCAGTTCATAGCCAACACAGTGCTCCCCCCCCCCGAGGCTCGCAGAGGGAAGGAAGTCCAGGCCCCTCAGCACAGTCTTGATCTTGGGGCTCTTTCCAGCTGCCTCCCGGTCACCTTGCACTTCAGCCTCTTCTTCTTCCCCCTACATGAGAGAATGAGGTTCTGCACGCTCTGTTCCCTGTGCCTGCCATGCCCTTCCCTGACTTCTGGGCTCAGCTGGTCCCTCTTCTTCCTTCCTCCTTGCAGGCAGTGGCATCTCCAGGAAGCCTTCCCTGAGGGTCTGGGAGGGTCAGCTGCCCTTCCTCTTGCTCCCATGTCATCTTAATTTTCACATGATTTTCAGTGTGTCTATTTACTGGGTTATACTTACCCAGGACACCAATCCAACTGCATTTCTAGAACCTAGCATAGTTGGGCATCTAGGAAATGCCCAAGCGATATTTGGTATCAAATGGAGCTAGGAGAGCACATGCTGTGGGAGTGGATATGGGCTCCTGAAGCATTCATTCATTCACTCACTCACTCACTCACTCACTCACTCACTCACTCACTCACAATAAAACACAAGGAAACTTGATAGGGAAACTTGCAGGACTGATGCAGACAGCTTCGAGGGTGGCCACTCTCAACTGACAGTGAGGGACATTTCAGACATTCTTATGGAACTTTATTAAGCAATATGGGTTCTAACCCCCTTCCACAATTCTCTCCCCTATCCCCTGAGGAGGACTAATGTTTAGAGTGTTTTCAGCAGGATACAGAGGTCCTCACCACAATTCTTGCTTCTCCATGTTATGTGGCCAGTGTTTTCAGCCTCAGAGCTAGGTAGACACAGGACTAAAATATATCCATCCAGGCATGTTCTTCTTTAAAATTGTCATTTGGATTGAAAAAAGAAAACTAAAATGGAAAGGTAAAATAATGCGTTCCAAAGGGCAGATGTTTTATGAGCAGTCTGGGCAGCTCTGTACCATAAAGATGAGGGAATCAACTGGTGTCCTACACCTCTCTAAAGGGACTCCACAGTGGAGTGTCCTCCTGGTGTCCAGACCTCAAGGAGGAACCCGCACTGCAGGAAAGTTTGGAGAAGGAGGGATTCTGCACAGGGATGAGCTTTGTGTTGATAATCAATTGGAACATATGAGCAGCTTCCTACTTTAAAGACCCTCCATGGTTTCAGAAACATTCTCCAAAATTTCCTGTGTTTATAGCACGAGCTTATATCTAGAAAAAAGCATGAGAGGATATTTTAACATCTTAGTGTTTCATATAATTTTTAGTGACTCAAAATTTTATGAAGGATAGATTTGTCCAATCTGGAAAAAGCGATGACATTTGTGATTGAAGGACAATTTTTTCCGTTGCAAACAAGCTATGTCCTCTTGGGATATACATATGTATTGTTTCCCCCGGTTTAGCTTCAGCTGTTACTTAAAAACTTACTTATGAACGTTTCCTACTGGCACTGCCTCTGCATCCAGAGGTAAAAAAGTAAGCACATTTTAAAAATTATAGTAATTCCAGGCCATATAATTAACACAAAGTGTCTCTGAATTGTCGAATGCCCACAGCAAGGGGAGTTTTCCTGAATGTTTCAAATCGTTATTACTAGGATAACACCAAGCAAGCTTTTACCCTGCTTAAATTTCCACAGAATAAACAAATTCAACTCAATCCACCAGGCTTTGTCTCAATAGACTGCTCAGTTGCAAAATTGTATCATCTTAGCACTTTATTGAAGAACAACTTTCATTAGGTGTCAACATGAAAATAATTGACTTTACTTAAGTAAAAATTTGGATAAAATTAAGTTCTTACTTGTTTCGAGCACTGGAATTAAGTTGAATGCTTTCTTCAAAGACTGTGCAACTTCTTTTGTTTTAACAAATTCTATGTGTTAAAACATTTCAATTCTTTCACTCTTCAGTACCTCATTGTTACATAAACTATGACATAAAATGAAAAGTAATTTGTATAGAAGCAATTTTAAGACGAAGAGAGAAAAGAATCTACATTTCCTGAGGGCCTAGTACACTTTGCGTTTAAAAATCCTCCAACGGTCTTGGAAAGTGAACATTATTCTAACTGTACATTCTAAGAAAATTACAATTGTGTGTAAATCCTACATCAGTAAAATTGATGTTTAAAAAAGTGCAACAAGATAGCACAGAGAGGGGAAAGAACTTGCCCCAGGATTTCACAACCTGAGATGCTGAAGTGGGATTTGAAGCCCCTGGTCTGTCTCCCCTACATCAGGCTCCCCACATTATGCACCACATCACTGAGGGATGTTTTAGCACCAACAATGATTAGATAGTCAGGAAAAAGACATGGTTAGCGGAACAGATATCGCTGTGACGTCAGAGGACTTGAGTTCTGATTGTGTGAGTACGATGACAGTGATCTGAAAAGGAGTCAATGTACCCAGTTGCTGTTAATTGTGCTGTTTCCTGTCCCTAGAACTGTCAGCACAACACAGCGGGTGAGCACTGTGAGCGCTGTAAGGAGGGTCACTATGGGAATGCCATCCACGGATCCTGTAGGGCCTGCCCGTGTCCTCATACCAACAGGTACTGTAGAACTGAGAAAATAGCCTATAGGCAGGAAGTCTCTCGGTGGTTACCCAGGCCTGGGGTGGGAGGGGAGATGAGGGCAAATGGGAAAGGACTGCTGAAGGGTGGGGGGTTTCTTTGTAAGGTGATGAAAATGTTCTCAAATCAATTGTGGTGATGGTTGTACAACTCTATGGATATACTAAAAGCCATCGAGTTGTACATTCCACATGGGTGAATTGTATGATATGTGAATTGTATCTCAATAAAGCTGTGATATTTTTTAAATGATGCTCTGAGAGGCTGAGGTGGGAGGATCGCTTGAACCCAAGAGTTTGAGACCAGACTGGGCAACACAGCAAGATCTGTCTCTAAGAAAAAAAAATTTAAATCAACCGGGTATGGTGGCATGAGCCTGCAGTCCCAGTTGCTTGGGAGGCGGAGGTAGGAGGATCACTGAGCCCGGGAGTTCGAGGCTGCAGTGAACCTTCATCACGTCACTGCACTCCAGCCTTGGTGACAGATGGAGAGCCTATCTCTTAAAAAAAGAACAAATATAACAAGCAACAACAAACAAACAAAATAAACAGTCATTCCAAGCTGTCTTCTTCTGAGCTTTTTTCTTTTCTTTTCTTCTTTAGCTCTTCATTTAGTAGTTAAACAATTATTTCTTGGAACCCTGTATGGGGCCAGCCCTTAGGCTTCCTATGTGCTGGGGAAACTGATGTGAAGAAGATGGATGGAGTCTGATCTCATGGGGCTTTACCTGGAGTGGGGTGGGATGGAGAGAAAGGGGAGGTTATCACACTCAATAAATATATATACAAACAAAACCAGAAGTATAACTTCAAATAGAGTTGGCATTTTCTGAAATAGGGTTTTGTGATTGAGAGTGAGAGGCTGCTTTAGGGAGATAGCCAAGGACCCTGAAGTTGAGGAAGGAGCCATGGCGGTATCTTAGCCTGAGGCTCCAGGGCAAGGATAAAACAGAAGGGGAGACGCAGTGATGATGTGTTCCCAGACAGTGAAAAGACAGGATTGACAGAGGCAGACTGGGAGAGAAGGCCAGAGGTGAGGTTGGTGGAGCAGCCAGGGCTCAGATCCTGGAGAGCCCTGCAGGCCAGAGTCAAGCATCTGGATCTCATCTTCAGAGCAATGGAAGCCTTGGGCGAGTTCTGAGCCTCTGAGTGATCCAAGCTGTCAGTTAAGCTCCAGTGTGGCCAACAGACTATGTAGGTAGGAAGCTACCATTGTGTTTTCATGGCCATCTGTGTTCTCTTTGGGCTTAGCACCTTGTCATATGCCTGCTCATCACAATGTGTTGTTCACTGTAGAGTCTAAACAAAGAATAACACAACAAGCTAAGTGAAGCATGAGTCAGTTTGAACATCAAGAAGATATTGATAAAATATCAGTAGTACACAAGCTCAGAAACAAGTGTGGACCATGGTCAACCTGCTATTAGCCCAGTGTCAAATTGGCCAAGTCCTAACTTCAACAGAAGTCACGTGCCCAAGTGTGGCTTTTCTGGAGAGACGTATTTGAAATATTCACTCTGCTTTGCTATCTCTGCCTTTGATACCCATGAGGCCTGCCCAGTCCTGCAGCTTTACTCGTAAAGGGATCTATCACTTGATGCTTGCCCAGACTTGTTGGAACAGAAACTGGTAAAAGTAGAGAGCAGCAAGATTTCTACCCAAGTGCTTGGAAAAAGCTTTTCATTTTTTTTTTTTGCAAAGCATATTGTTATCATCGAGGTCAGTTTCCAGCTTCCATGCTGTTGGAATAACACATGGTTTCTCAGATTTATCAGGAAAACTCTCTGTTTTTATCTAATTCTCCTTCCAGCAATATTAATAGTGCTGACACATTTCCAACTGTCCCTTAACTTTGTAACCATCTGATAGCCCAAACGATGTTTCCCAAATAAGAACTCTCTAACCAGCAAGTGATAAATGGAATAGAGTGGTTTTTTTTCTGAGATTTACAATGGTGTAGTGTTTAATGGACAGATGTAGACATTTCACAGGCAACAGGGCTTTTGCATGGTCTCTTTGTTTTAAAAAAAATCTGTTTCTCAAATATTATTAGTTTACAGCTAAAGGAAAAGGGATCAAAATTCCACAACTTTGTTAGAGAAAAATGTAAAAATTGCCAATGACTATACCCACAGAAATGCTAAAATGGAGAGTGTGCCCTGTGCCCCTGTTTATGGGGCTATAGCCACCCCGATGACTTTTTTTTCCAAGAAGGTAATATACCCAATACAAAAGAACTAGAATAAACAAGGAGAAAAATTTTCTAAGGAATCAGAGCTCTCTGTTCTTTTTTCTGCCTAGACTTGTTTTATTCCTTCCTTGTTATTCCTGGAAAAATGCTGTTGTAATCATCTTTTCCAGAGTGAGCTACTTTGCTCTGTCTTAAGGTAAAGAATGCACTTCTCCAGCCAAAAATAAAATCAATGCCTTCAGTCCATATTCACCATAATTTGCCCAGTGTCAGCTGAGATAATTCATCATTATCTCCACAGGTCTTGATGGGCAAAACCTTCTTCATACAAAAAGAAGCCACACTCTGGGGTTCCATTTTCACTTAATGCAAGTCAATCCTTTGTGGTAAAAAAAAATAACAATAATGAGCAGAAAGCCTAACTATCAGTTTATGTTTTTACTGGGGCCTTTTCTGTCGTCTTTTAAGCTTTGCCACCGGCTGTGTTGTGAACGGAGGAAACGTGCGGTGCTCTTGCAAACCTGGATATACAGGAACACAGTGCGAAAGGTGAGTGCTGCCTCCTGCCCTCAGTCGACTGGTGGGTGGGGTGGGGTGGGCTGGGCTCTGCCTGCAGCTGCTGGACTGTGGGTGGGGTGCTGCTGGGTGCTGGCTCAGAGCTAGGGGTGGGGCTGAGTTTTACTGAGGCCTAGAAAAACGCCTCTTGGGGAAAAATACAATATTGCTCACTGAGTAAATCATTAACATCTTTGTCTTTCTTGCTATGTACATGTTTCAGAAGTCAGAAAACGAGGCACAGCACATACTCACAACCACACGTAGCCCTGTACATCCCCCACATACCTGTATTTACCTGGACCTCCACACGAATCCCTACACACCCCTCCCCCATACCTATCCCTGTATACCCCTCCCCCATTCTAAATATTCCTCCCTCTACATATCTCTACATACACCTGTCCTTCCCACAAATATCTACATACCCCTAATCCCTTCCACATACATCCCTATATACCCCTCCCCCACAAATATTCCTGATACTCCTACCCCCCATATAAACTCATTCCTGCATACCAGTATAACCTCCTATCCCCCCCACATATCCTGACTTACCTGTACATACATACAACTGTATAAATACTCACATTCATACACATATCCACAGCTCTAGATATCACACACACAAACACATACACACACATCCTTCTCTATTCCCATATTTCAGAATCTCTGGTGTCTAGCTTAGTACTGTTCATATAACAGGTGTTCAGTAATGTTTGTGAAACAGAAGGATAAATGTTATGGAATAGAAAGTATAAAATTAACTATAAAGGACTATAGTGCCAAACTTTCATGAGTACATTTTCATGACTGACTCCTATGTAGAGGGCACTGCCAAGTATTGTGACAGATGTAAAAGATACTTAAAATATAGCTGGGAAGATGGTACATACATACTTGGAAAAGTATCCATTTGAAAAATGAATCATATGGTCAACATGTTTAGAAATGTAAAACAACTATTATAAAATCAACACATTTTTCATTAAAATGGTGTACTACAGGTGAGCAAAGAATCGATATAGACCCTACCTAGCCCTAGATACTTGTGCATGCTCACATACAGACCTATTCATAATCATTTTACCTACAGAAAACCACTGTTAAATGCTTTACTCTTGCGGATCATTTCTAAGTACATGGACTTTACAAACAAAAACAAAAGTAGATGTCTGCTTTACTCTCTGTTTTGATTTGTTTCTTGTCTAGTACTATGTTAGTAATATCTTCCCATATCAATAAGTATTCCTTGATGACACCACGACAGTGACCAAAAAGTTTCCACTGAGGTTCCATAAGCCCCAAGTCTTGGTCTTGGAGATCCTTTGACTGTTCTCCGTTTAAAGCAACACTAAAAGTAAATCCTTGCAGCTAAATATTTATGCCCGTAAATCCTCAAGGTATTGTATAATTGTAGAAGTGGATCCCTGGTCCAAGGACAGGTCTTTCAGGCTTTTAATACATTTTGCAAGTTTGCCCTCCAGAAAGGTAGCTACATTTCTACTAGAATGAGTGACTGTCTGCCCCAGTGGATATTCAAAATGATCATTATTTAAAAATATCTGCCAATTCATAGGGAAAATTATTTATCATTTTAAAATACATTAGAATTCTAGAGGAGTTTGACCAAAAAAATTCATGTAAGCAGATTTCATAATAAAGAATGGTCATTGTCTGAATGGGTTTATCTGAAATGTTTATGGACAAGGTGGGACCTTGGTAGGTCTAGCGTTGACTAGAACCCAGTAGAGCCAGACGTTGAAGGTGGAGGGTGGGTCAGATTGGGAAATCAATGCAGGAAAGGCCAAGGGGCTGGAGGATAACTGCCACGTGTAGGAGGCAGAGTCTGCCTCATGATGGAGAGACTGAGCGGAACCCAGACACTGTTCTATGGGAAAAGACACTGGTAAAAGAGAGTAATTTAAGGTCCTCCTATTTTCCATTTTCCATTTCATCAAAAGGAACATTTCTCACACTTGCCTCATATGTATTATTCGTTCTTTCTTTCAATGAAAAATGTATGGAGATCCTGGTACATGCCTGACACTGTGCTAAGCACTAGAGACATGTTAGCAAGCAGAGCACAGACTCTGCTCTCAAGGGCTTTCCAGTCCAGGGGTGGACAGACATAAAAACAATGATTAAATTAGTGAGAGATGGGAGAACTGGACTAAATGGACCACAGTAGAGTGCAGGCTGGGACTGGGAGAGGATTCCAGGTTCTGTGATTTAAAAGCTGCAGGATTGGCCGGGCACGTTGCTCACGCCTATAATCCCAGCACTTTGGGAGACGGAGGTGAGAGGATTGCCTGAGCCCACGGGTTCGAGAGCAGCCTGGGCAAATTGGTGACACCTCATCTCTACAATAAATTCATACTAAAAAAAAAAAATCATGGTGACCCGTGCCTGTAGTTCCCGTTACTTGGAAGGCTGAGGCGGAAGGATCACCTGAGTCCAGCAGTTAGAGGCTGTGGTGGCCATGGGTGTGACACCGCACTCCAGCCTGAGCAACAGAGTAGGACTCCAACTCAAAAATAAATATATAAATAATAAATAAAATAAATAGAGAAAAAAAAAGCTACAGGATTTCCACCTGGGAGAGGCTTCCAAATTTAATTCTCCACATGGTCCTTCACAAACAATGAAGCAGAAAACAGCAACAGGCTCCATGGGACATTCATTTGGCAAGCGGCTCATTTGAAGAGAAATTTTTAATTAACAGTTCTCTTCTCAGCTTATGTTTGTTATACTATTTGATGTCTCAAGAAAACAAGCTATCATTGCTTAAAAATGTTTTTGTTAGCTTCTTCACAGGTAAGTGCCATTTTGATGGCAGCACTTTTTATTTGTTGAGCATGGTTTGAGCACCCAGGCATCCTTCTTGGCAGTAGTCATTGTCCACGCAATGATAAATACAAGGACTGTGAAGGTGAAAAGTTGGAATACACATGATGAGGAGTCTGACTGGGCAGAAGCAGGAGCAACCAGCCTTGGGGAAGGGGAGAAAAGGCTTCTCAGTGTATTCCATGTTCTTTTTCACCTTCTCTCCCTCGGCCCCACAGAGCCACCGATGACAAACGTGTAACGTCATCTGTGAAATCAGGAAGTTTGATTCCAATGCTTTGTGTTTAGTCACTACCATAAAATGAGAAGAGAACCGGTTATTCCTTGTAAAATAAGTCATGCTTTGCAAGAGTCAGGAAGAGGTGGAATCAAACTTCCTGAATACTGGTGTGACTTTAACAGAGGGTACTTTGTAATTCTGTGTCTTTTATGTGGAAAGTTTAGAAATAGGTAAAACATATAAAAAAAATAAAGTATTTTAGAACACAGATCTTCTGCATAGCTTGGTTTGTTAGGTGAAATACTGGGCTGGTCGCAAAGTAAACCCCTATTATCAATATATCATCTCCTTGCTTAGTAGACTTAGTTAAACCACTTGAACCCAATTTTCTTCTTAATAATTAGGGAATACATGAGTTTCCTATCTATTTTCTGAACTGTAATCAGTTTAAATGTTATCAATTAGAAAATGCATATCTTATCATGTCTTATAATAGTGGCAACCTTGTATTGCGTGTCTATTCTGTGCAGGGATAGTGCTAGATTCTTTGTTACATTATCTCTCCTCTTATGGCCGTTGGCCAAATTAAGTATTAGTTCTATCATTTATTCATTCAACAAACATATATCTGGCACCTAATATGTGCCAGGCACTATCCCAAGTACTAGGGATATGTTAGCAAGCAAAATAGCCAAAAAGTCGTGTTTTCATGGAGTTGGTTTTCATGGGGGAATTGATTAAACTGAAGCTCAGAGTGTTACGACAACAGCCCAAGATCACACTAGTGAGTGGTGGAGGTAGGAGCCCAGTCAGATCTTCCTGATCCTTTGCATATCACCTGAGTACACATTGGTAAAGTATGCTGAAATTGCCCAAGTTTTTTGATGCAAAGCTTTCATTTTGGGAAAAGAGTTAAATACCGTATTTTCTCAAGCCTATCAATCCCATTGGTGATAAGACACCACACATCAGTTTATAAGCAACGTGAGTGTGATTGGGTGGGAAGTGGAACGTGGCTGACAGAGATATTTTTATTGGCATTCTACTAGCAGAAACAGTAGCATGTCTTTATTTTACTTTTTAAAAAAACAAATTCTAAGACTCAAGGAAATGCGATCTTTAAACTTATAAGTCAGGAATTGAGGTCTCATTACTAAATTATCTGGAATAACAAAGACTCAAGGCCAAAGGTAGCAGCTGTAACTGCTCTTAGCTGCTGAGACTCTGTTGAGACTGCAGCCATTAGTGCAAATATGAATTATGCAAACTTGAAATAGTGCAACAGGAAATAGTAAGAGTTCTCCTTCACACAAAAATTTCAAATGATATGAATCTTACTTCAAATTTATTTCCATGAGGAAGTTCAAGGGCTAAGTAGCTCTGTATTGAGAAATATTCATTCTTGCAAGTCTATGACAGCCTTCCTCCCATGGGGTTACAATATCCCAGACAGAGAACTAGAGATTGAGAAAATTGGATGGGATAAATGCTGAGTTATTTGGGCATTTCTTTTCCTTTCTATATTTTGTGTAGATGTGCACCAGGATATTTCGGGAATCCTCAGAAATTTGGAGGTAGCTGCCAACAATGCGATTGTAACAACAACGGCCAGTTGGGCAGTTGTGACCCCCTCACTGGAGGTAAGATTAATGCATACGTCTGCTAACCTGCATTTACAAAACTGATCTAAAATAACAGGACTAGGATCCAAGCACAAATTTTCAGGAAGCATAATACACAATTCCAGCTGACAGATTATTTTCACAGTCCTGGAAATGGTAGGTAGTACATAAAAGTTTTGTGAATAATTTCCTTCACTTGGGTTTTTTTATTTTTAAAAAGTCTATTGTTTTTAAAATGTAAAAAATTTTAACTAAAATAACTTAGACCCTACTTAGGTGATTTTACTGAGATTTCCCTGTGATGTAGTAGGGCTGTCGTCACGTCTGCTTCCATGTGTGTGTCTGAAGAAGTCAAAGTACTCTTTCTCTTACAGCATTACATGTTCTTGGATGTAGGGGGGAAATTGGGGTGGATTTCACACACCAAGGAAAAGATAATTGGTGAGAGTTAGTATGAGTTTATTAGAAGCAACTCAAAACAAAAAGGAAGACTATATTCTTCCTTCTTTGATAGAATATTAATATGATTTATCAGGAAAGTGCCATTGACATAATAGAGTCTCAAACACTAAGGTAAAATCTTTTACCATGTACTTATAGACAAGATAAAGAACTAAGCCCTCGATATGTGGTTTAGATCCAGACAAGTGACTGTTCCCAAAGGATTGCAGAGCAAATGGGTTAATGGGAGTCTGGAATGGGATACTGATTGTAGTGCTTCAGGACTTCATCCTTGGCTCCATCTTGTCCAACATTCTTGACTTAGATGGAAATATAGAAAGCCTGCCCACCCAGTTATCAGATCACGTAAAGTTGATAAGAATTGTTTAGGGGCCAAAGGAAAATTTCCACTTTGTCCTCTGAAGGTTTGCTGAAAATCAGCTGACACAAGGTAGCTTAACAGGAGAAAAGGCATACAAAACTTTATTTTAATGTACGTAATATAGGAGAATCACAGAGGATGATTATCTGATAACCCAGTGGGGTACAGATGCTTATATACCCTTTTTTATAGGGAAAAAGGAAGTGGGAAAATGTGGCTGATTTTAAGGGGATAGTAAATGATTTTGGGGGGTATTCAATGAGCTTGTAGAACATATAATGAGGCCCGAGACAAAGTGTTTTAGGCCCGTAGAACAGGCAATGGTTTGTGACTGAGTCTGTCCAGGTGTGTTGACAGACTTCAGTTTTCCTGTGAATGAGTTAAGTTAATGAAAGCTCAGGGAAGGGACCAGAAGTCATTGTTTTCTTCTTTGATGGGTCTGGACTTCAGGCAGATAAGCAGGTGACAGAGTAAAGCTTCTTCTGGCATCTGTTGGCTTTCAATGACGTTTAATTAAAATAACCAGCATAACAGGGTACCATATTTTGGGGTAAAATTCCCTGGTCTCCTTCAATAGCAAACGCTTCCTATGACACATTTAGAATAAAAAGGGGCCTCAACAGTCTGGAATGATGGGCCAATTCTAACCAAACACATTATGTTAAGGATAAGTGTGCAGTCCTATAGTTGAGTGGGGGAAAAAATATATCAACCTATAGATATGAAATAAAGCAGATGGGCTTAGTAACAGGAGGTGAAAAAAGGCTTAAAGTTGTAGTCAGCAGTAAATTCACTATGGCCCAGAGTGAGGTGTGGCCCCTAAGACAGCTTACACTATCTTCACCAAGCTCTAGTGTCTAAAGACAAGTATCTACCGTTTTCTTATACCCTGCCCACAAAAGTCCTCATGGGAGGGTTCTTTATGACTTTAGAAGACAATAGATGAACTACAGCTTGTTCAGGCAGAGGGTGAGACCGTGAAGGGACTTGGAACTGTGTCAAGTGAGAGAAGATTGAATAGGGCAGTGAAAGGAAGAGCTGGAAAGGACGCATTTGGAAGACCAAAGCTGGGAGAAGAGCTGGTCTTATTCTCTGTGGCATGAGGGACAGAACTTATAGCAAAGAGTGGAAGCAAGAGAGAGACCTATTTTAAATTATCTGAGGAAGAAGTGTCACATGTTTAAAGATGAAACAGGCTGCTTTAAAAGGAGGTGATTTCTACTGTCACTGGAGGTATTCAAGGAGAAGTTTTGACATCATACACAACTTATTCATGAGCTTAATGCCTCTTCAACCCTCACTCCTCTACTCCAATAACAAAAATCAGCAACATGAAGTGAGGGGGGTAACTATTTGTTCCAAAAGTGGAAGCAAATCCTCACATGTGAGACTTGCTTGTTCCTGCGAGGTTTTTTCTTTTTTCTTTTTCATTCTTTTTATTCTTCAACTAATAATGTACAGATTCCTTGGTGGTCACATGCAAGCTTGTTGGGAAGATTGCATTGATAAATCCTTCATCCACAGGAACCCTGTCCCCCATAAGCTGTTCAGGGTGATGCGAGAAATTGTGAAGGAAATGAAACCATATTTCCTGGTCAGAAGACATTAATAGACTATTGAGGAAATAAAAGTGTCACGATTGTATGTACTTATAAGCATGCATAAATATTTTTCAAGAGAATGAGTAAAATTTATAATTATATATGACAAATTAAAATGTATACAGGTAAGTATATATAGTCTTTGAATGATAGGATCAAGGATGATACTTTTATCTTATTTTTCTGACTTTCCCAAGTTTTCCATAATGAATTTATATCTTTTTTGTAATTAAAAGCAAATGTGGTCTAAAATATATGTAATTATTCACAAAGTGGGGAATATTATTGGCTGCTGAGAAGAATAAACTTGAAAACCTCTTATAGCATGTCCAGCAAAATTCAAGCTAAGAGTTTTGCTGTAATAAAGTTAGATTATTTCTCAGAAGTGAGAGGACATGTCATATAAAAATGCACAACATGGAGCAAAGAGTAGACATGAAAGGAGTAAAGAACCAGGGACCAGGCACAGTGACTCGAACCTGTAATTCCAGTGCTTTGGGAGGCTGAGGCGGAAGGATCGCTTGAAGCCAGGAGTTTGAGACCAGCCTGAGCAATATAGTGAGACCCTATCTCTACTAAAAATAGAAGCAAAAATCAGTTGGGCATGGTGGCATGTGCCTGTAGTCCCAGTTACTCGGCAGGCTGAGGCGGGAAGATTACTTGAGCTCAGGTGTTCAAGGCTCCAGTGAGTTATGACTGAGCCACTGCCCCCAGCCTGGTCAACAGAGCAAGACCCTGTCTTTAAAAATAATAATAATAATGTTCAAAGTTGACCACTAGGCTTTATTATAGCTGAGAACCTGAAAACTCAGCTTATATAATATATGCCATCGTTGGTGGCGTGGGCTCACTCACATTGTGTGCCTATCTTTGTCACGGCATTTGTCACACTATTTAATAATTTTCCTGCCTCCCCTATGGGATTGTTGAACCACAGAACAGGAATTTTGTCTTGATATCTTTGTATTCTCAGCACCTGCTATGGGGCTGTAGCATACTGTGGTTGCTCAAAGGTGCTCAATGTTCATGAATAAGGGTAGAAGCATGAACATATAGGAGGTTATCCAGTGAAGAAAGTGTTAACACCAACGACTGGAAGTTTTAATTCGATGAGAAAAGCATGGCCCTTTAGAGAGTTGACTCTTGTAGAGAAGAAATGGAGTATGTAAGCAGAGAGGCTACAAAAGAAGTTCCTGCAGCAAGCCTGCCAGGAGATGAGAAAACTCCCTGGGCCCTGTCATGGGGGACAGAGGAGAAAAGGAAGAGGCCCCGATGCTGGATAGTTGGGTGACTAGAACCTTCCAAAACTAGCTTTTCTGAAAACCAATGTAAATAGCAGCCGAAGAGTAAATTTAATACCAATATCTTCTTTGGTTATTTCTTTATTTCAGACTGCATGAACCAAGAACCCAAAGATGGTAGCCCTGTAGAAGAATGTGATGGTGAGAAAAGAAAGTCTCTCCCCTTTCTAAGTTGTGGGCTTCATCTAAGACATATGTGTGCCCTTCTAGGACATGCAGCTTCCAGTCTGGGAAAGCAGTGGTGGGAGGAGGTGGGAGGAGGACTACTTAAGAGTCAAATGCAGCCTCGATCAACTACTGGCTGCGTGACTTTCAGCAAGCAACATGGCTTCTCCAAGCCTCGGTATCATCATTTGCTAAATGGACGTTATAGCTAGACCTACAGTATAGGACTGATGGGGAAATGCTTAGAAATCTCTTATCACAAAGCCTAATAAATAGCAAACGCCCTGTAGATAATAGCCATATTATTATTTTCCTCACATACAAACTAAGCAATGAGTTGCAAGAAATCACCATTTCATTTTAAAATGTTCCCTACAGCCTGGGTGACAGAGTGAGACTCCAACTCAAAAAAATATATATATACATATTCCCTATCTGAGGGGAGACCCCCCCCTCCCAAAACCTAGAATTATTTTTCTGGAGAGTGGGTCCTCTAGGTAAGTGTCCTAAGAACCCATCAGCATCAGTATACTGACTACCGTTATTGTAAAAGGTTGCTTGGCTTCAGTTAATTTTTTTTTTGAGATTCCTTCAATGTGTCTGCCCATTTCATGATGGGTGATTTACAAGTGCACCTGCCCACACCACACTCAGCAGATTTTGACCCCAAAACAGCATGACCCCTGTGGCCCACCCTCCCTATTCACCCAATCCTGGCCCGAGCAATTTTGTTTGTTTGTTTGTTTCCCTGAATGAAAAAAGTACCCAAAGGGAAACGTGTTGCTGATGTGGAAAAGGTAAAACAAAAGTGGCAGAAGCATTTTAGCATCAAAATTGACAAGTTCAAAAACCATTTTGAGCAGTGGGAAAAGCATCTCGATAGGTGTATTGCATCAAATGGAGAGTACTTTGAATATGACTGAAGATTAAACATGTAAGAATAGATACACAATTTTGGGGGACCCTTATTCAGAGTTCTCCCTTTTTCAGTATCTGCATCCCTCTCTGGGAAGGCCAGGGCTGTGTTTTTTGCCTGTGACGATCTGTGTCCATGTGAACTGGGCTGCACAGCCCTTGTGCTCCCTTCACATTCCCGCTACTCCAGTCACAGCACATCTGCCTTTGATTGTGGTTCCCTACAGACTGCGACAGCTGTGTAATGACACTCCTGAATGACCTAGCCACCATGGGCGAGGAGCTCCGCCTGGTAAAGTCACAACTGCAGGGCCTGAGTGCCAGCGCGGGTACTCTGGAGCAGATGAGGCATATGGAGACCCAGGCCAAGGACCTGAGGGTAAGTCCCCTGCAGCCCAGAGTAAACCCCAGGGTGAAGAGACGCCATGGGAATGGACACTCCTCAAGCAGGAATGGGAGAAAGGCTGACCCCTTCTAAGACTCAGGGCTGTCCTCCTTTCTCTGATCCAAATAAAGATTCAATTTTTATCTGAGGGAAGAATTTATGAGCACACAAGAATGAACACCTCTAAGTAAACATTTCTTTAGTTGCTAAATATTTCCTGGCTAACTTTTCTCATAGAACCTTTAGTTCAGTAGCTTGCATTCAGAAGACTCAAGCACAGGTTTGTGTTAGATTGGTATTCATTCTTTTTTAAATGGTTGATAGAATTTTCCAGTGAAGCAATGTGGGCCTGGGATTTTCTTTGTTGAGAGTTGTTTTATTTTTTTAAATAAATCATAAATTCAATGTTTAAAAGATAGATATTAGACTAAAATCACACAGCTAGTACATAGTGGTTCTAGAAGAATTCACATCCTATTCAAATTCTAGACTGTGTTTACCATGAGACCTCTTAACCGGACGTTTCTCTGACATTCTATATAGTAATATGTCTCAGTTTTCTCATTGTAAAATTGAAATAGAGCTATCTTCTTGCCATATCATACCAACACTGCAAAATTCAGAGAAATAAATATGAGAAGGAAACTTTTTTTTGTTGCTTGAGTCAGAGTCTCACTCTGTCACGCAGGCTGGAGTGCTGTGGCACAATCATAGCTCACCACAGCCCTGACCTCCCAGGCTCAGGTGATCCTTCCTCCTCAACCTCCCAAGTAGCTGGGACTATAGACATGCACCACTATGCCCAGCTAATTTTTTGATTTTTTTGTGTGGAGATGATGTATTGCTGCGTTGTCCAGGCTTGTCTTGAACTCCTGGGCTCAAGCAGTCCTCCTGCCTCTCGGCCTCTCATAGTGTTGAGATTATGAGACCACTGCATCTGATCGGAAATTAACATTTTTGGTTAATTGTTTTTTTGTTTTTGTTTTTTTTGAGTTGGAGTCTCACTCTATTGCCCAGGCTGGAGTGCAGTGGGATGCTCCTGGCCATCGCAGCCTCAACCTGCTGGGCTCAGGCGATCCTTTCGCCTCAGCCTTTCAAGTAACTGGAACTACAGACATACACTACCCATGCCCAGCTAATTGTTTTTTTGATTTATTGTAGAGGTGAGGTATCATCATGTTGCCCAGGCTGGTCTCAAACCCGTGGGCTCAGACAGTCCTCTCATCTTGGCCTCCCAAAATGCTGGGATTATAGGCTTGAGCCATTGCACCTAGCCAAAATTAACATTTTTGAATGCTCATGTATTAAAAAATATGATTTAACATGTTTGTGCACGTGTATTTTTAGAAAAAATTAGCTCCTTAACATCAAAACCAACCCTGCAGCTAAGTATTATCACTCCCAATTTGCTAATTGAGGAATAAGACTTAGAGAGGCTCATCTACTATGTGGTAGACCTAGGGTTTGTACCTCGGCTCTAAAGCCTGTATTCTTTTACTCAACATTGGCTCTAACATGCAAATGGAGGTGATAGTATCATTGTTTCTAGTAAATTTTTCAAGATAGTAATTCTTTTTCCAAAATATTGAAAATATTCATTAATCTAGTTATTATGTGCAGCAATGTTACTGTCTAAAAGTAATAAGGCAATTTAGTCCTGAAGAAAAGGACAAGACTCCTAGACTATGGTCCTAAAGCAATCACTCGATCAGCTACACAACCATGGTATAGTCACTCAACATCTTTGGGCTTCTGCTTTCTCATTTGCAATGTGAAACAATTCAACTAGTGAACTCTGCTCCCTCCAGCTCCATTAGATTAGATTCTTTAAATAAATTCCTGATGGTATCTTCAATAAAGTAGCCATATGCACTGCCCTCAGTGCAGGTTAACTGAAGGTTTTAAAAAATTGTGCTCATTATAGAGTCTGGAAATTAATACATCAAGTAAGTCATGTCACCCCCATTTCTAGAAGGTTAGGGCATCACTTCAAGTAAAGTATATCTTGCCTCTTCACATTTGCGACTTTATTTTACAGCCATATCACAACATACATCAGAAAGTAGATTCACCATGTAACCTGTTTCAAAGAACCACATTTGTGTGTGTGTGTGTGTGTGTGTGTGTGTGTGTGTGTGTGTGTGTGTGTGTTTAACCTGCACTGGCCTTGCTAAACGACTCTTCATTTTATTATCATATTTATGAGGTTGATAGGATTTAGTCTTACTTTCCACTATAAAGTGACATTAACATTGTGTTTTATTTTCAGAATCAGTTGCTCAGCTACCGTTCTGCCATTTCAAGTCATAGATCAAAAATAGATGGCCTTGATAAAGAACTGAATAATTTGAATCGTGAATTTGAGACTTTGCAAGAAAAGGTAATGTATTGGGTCAATTACTTTAACTTGTATTTATTTATTTACTTATTTTGCTTTCAAAATATTTTTAGGTTTCTTTTTTTCTCCCATCAACTTAATTTGTTGCTAATCAATTTATTTTTCATATAGGCTCAAATAAATTCCAGAAAAGCACAAACATTATACAATAACGTCGACCGCACAATCCAAAGTACAAAGGAACTGGACGCAAAGATTAAAAATGTCATCCGGAATGTGCACAGTAAGAAGTTACTTGATCTAGTTCATTTTTTGTTGTTGTTACATAAATTTTGTTTACACTGAAAAAATTCCCTTTAAGATTTCAGCATTATGAAAACGATCCCGTAGTGATACTAAAAAAACTAATATGAAGCTTCCATAAATGTTTCTCCTTTTTTTTTTTAAGTAGTCTACTGGAGCCCAGAATTCCCAGCTTAATAAACTACTTGCTGTTTTCTAGTTCTCTTGAAACAGATCTCTGGGACAGATGGCTTGGGAAACAATGTGCCTTCAGGTGACTTTTCCAGAGAGATGGCCAAAGCAGAACACATGATAAGAGAACTGAGGAACCGGAACTTTGGAAAGCAACTGAGAGAAGCAGAAGCTGAAAAAAGAGAAGCTCAGCTCTGTAAGGATGCTCCCTGATTCTTGCATCTAGTCCACTTAATTGGTTTGAAATACAATGAAGTACCATGTAGAGTTCCCAGTTACAGGTGGAAGGTCTCATCATGTCAGTGAACATGACTGTTAGAGTGTCATGTGAAAATGGGTAAACCCTCCCACCCACCGGACACCAAAAGTCTTTCCTCCAAGTTATCAAGAGACCCTGAAATATAACATCTTAGCATCATCCCAAGGAAAGGGGTCTTCTCTTAATAGTTAGATATTGATACCTCTTTTTCTTTTTCAACCTCCTTTTCATTTTTTCAACGTTCATCCACCTCTTTCCAATTTTCTCATTATATCATTTTTCATGATCACCTCGCCACTATTGAATATTTAGATCACAAATTGATATTTGTGCTGCTACAGGTTGAGTATCCTTTGTCTGAAATGCTTGGGACCCAGATGTGTTTCAGATTTCTGATTGTTTTGGTTTTGGGGATATGTGCCTATACATGAGATATTTTGGAGATGCAACCCAAGTCTAAATATGAAGTTCATTTATGTTTCCTTTACACCTTGTGCACATAGCCTGAAGGTAATTGTATACAATAGTTTAAAAAAATTTTGTATGTGAAACAAAGTTTTGACTACGTTTTGACTGTGACCCATCCAATGAGATCAGTGTGGAATTTTCCACTTGTGGTGTCATGTTGGGGCTTGAGTTTCAGATTTTGGAGCATTTCAAATTTGGGGTTTTCTGATTAGGGATTCTCAACTTATGCTACAAAACCAAAAAAATGAATATAATACAAATTGACTGAGTATATCTAAAGATTTTGACTATAGAAAATGCCCCATGAGCTCAAAACTGAGAACTATTAGTTTGGTGCATATTTTTTCAAATGCTGATATTCACTCTCTAATAAAATGATGTATCAGTGTTTAACATATAGATAGTAGCCATTTTCTTGTAGCACTTTTATTGTTCCAATTTAATACTAATTAGTTTGGACTTTTTTTTGTTAGGAGGGAGTATTTGTAATAGAAGGAACGTATGCTTTATGCTCTGCAACTCATGTTCAAGTCCCAAGTATGACTGGTCATGTAATCTTAGGTCAGTCCGTTATTTCTCAGGGTCTCCATTTCCTTATCTAAAACACTAGAAAGGTAATTGCTGTTGCCATGGATGCTCAATGAGACAATGTGTCAATGCCCATAGCAGGTTTGTGTAAATGTTAGTTTCCTTTCCCTTTCCCTCAAAATCTCCAGGAGAACCATGAAATGAGTGGAAACTCAATTCTCCCTCTGTAGTCTTTATAATTCCACTTCAGTATCCTCCTCTCTCAAGTGGAAAACATAACGTGATGTATTACAGTGCTGAACCAGATAAGGAGTTGGCTGGAAACCCACCAGGTGGAAAATGGTGAACTTGTTAAGAGTATGCGGGATTCTTTAAATGAGTACGAAGCCAAACTCAGTGGCCTTCACGATGCGCTTCAAGAGGCAGCTTCCCAAGCAAAGCAGGCCACTGGCCTCAACCAAGAAAGCGAAAGAGTTCTGGGAGCCATCCAGGTAAGCTCACAATCAGAAACTACATGCTTTCATCAATAAGAATGAGCAGGGATTTTTTTTTTTTTCTTTAATAGAGATGAGGTCTTATTATGGTTGCCCAGGATGCTCTCAACCTCCTGGGCTCAAGCAATCTTCTTGCCTCAGCCTCACTAAGTGCTGGGATTATAGGTGTGAGTCACCAAGCCCAGCCCAAGGGATCTTTATTGTTAGTAAAGTAGTATAACCAGGCACCTGTCTGTCTGTAGGTCTGGTTATACAACCTCAGACACTGATCAAACAGGAATGAGGCATTGAACACAAAACCAAAGTCATTTCAGCTATCAGAAAAGATTCTGAACTTAAACCATAGACAAAGCTATGCAAGTTACTTCACCCCTAGCCCTGGCTGAAATAGTATTGAAATATAACATTGCCAAATAGATGAGAAATTAATATTGCTGTAATAAATTCAATGTGTATATTATATGTTGTAAATAACTGACTTTCATGTCAGATATGTAAACATCATTACCATAAACATCAGCTAAGGCATTTTAAGCCATTACTTGCTTTATTGGAAACATCTTAAAGTACAGACCACGTACACAAGTTGTAATGACAGAATTTAGAGCTTAGGATTTTATGGTTTGTATTTTTAATAGCATACAGTGTATGCTAAGACATATAAGAGGTTATGAAATGACAGTAAGATCAAAGTTGAAGAGCATAGAACTGACCCCTAAAGAGGAGGAAGTTGGTAAATGAAAATAGATGATGTCTTAGTAGACAGCAGTGTGCTTAGCTCCCAAAGCTTCTTTACGTGATAACACCTCTGTGTGATGTCATTGATTATGTCAAGGAAAGGGAGCAGGATCCAATTTTGTGGGTCTCTGAACATTAGCAGCCCTCTAGCCTGGAATTCTCAGGTCTTATGTAACCTCTTGTTCAAGTGTATGCTGCCTCCTCTTTGGTACTAGAACATAGAGAGTGCTGATGGTTGGTGATGGTTGGTTGGTTGATTGATTGATTTGAGTCAGGGTCTCATTCTGTCACCCAGACTGGAGTGTAGTGGCATAATCATGATGGTCATGACTCACAGCAGCCTCAACCTTCTGGACTCAGGTGATTCTTCCACTTCAGTACCTCGAGTAGTTGGGACTACATGTGTATGCCACCATGCCTGGTTGATTTTTAAAAATTTTTTTTGTAGAGATGGGTTTTGCTATGATACCCAGGCTGGTCTCCAGCCCTGGGTACAAGCAATCGTCCTGCCTCAGCCTCCCAAAAGGCTGGGATTACAGGTGTAAGCCACTGTACCCCCCAGCTTGTGACAGTTTACTTAGATAACTTCCCCCATTCTGTTCCACAAATCAGACCTTAATACCATATCCATGTCACCGGCCAAGTTGAATGAAACCTTCCTTAGCAGCAATAGCAGTTGTTTCATTGGCATATAGCTTGAGAGAACTATGGCAACTTCTCTACACTGCAAAGAGAACTGGTTTCCCATCACTTTATAGCTGCCTAGATGGTCTTTAGGTTCAAGAAAGTTTCTGACTCTGAAATTACTTATCTACTGTTGTCCTATAAATATGTCTATGTCGCCAGGCTTGGTGGCTCAGCCTGTAATTCCAGTGCTTAAGGAGGCCGAGGTGAGTGGATTGCCTGAGCCTGCGGGTTCAAGACTCGCCTAGGCAACTTGGCGAGATCTCATCTCTACAATAAATCAAAAATTAGTCGGGTGTGGTAGCACGTACCTGTAGTTCCAGCTACTTGGAAGGCTGAGGCAGAAGGATCGCCAGAGCCCAGCGGGTGGAGGCTGCGGTGGCTGGGAGCGGCCACTGCACTCCAGTCTGGGTGACAGAGTGAGACTCCAACTCAATAAATAAATAAATATGTCTATGTCTTCTGATAATGTAGCATGGAGTTCAAGGAGATATTCTTTTTATTCTCTCCAGAGACAAGTAAAAGAAATAAACTCCCTGCAGAGTGATTTCACCAAGTATTTATCCACCGCAGACTTGTCCTTGCTGCAGACCAATGCTGTGCTACAACTGATGGAGAAAAGCCAGAAGGTAGAGGAGACTGCTTGCTCTCTAGAGAAATCTAAAAACGTTTAAATTATATTGCTAAGAAACAATGAGATGGGCTAACCTATTTTATTTTTCCCCAAATATAGTCTTTTAGGTGGAAGGGAGCATACTGAATTGTTAACAATGGTTCTCCCATGGGAGAAGAGTGAGAATGATATGTCTCCTTTATGTCAATCTGTCTTGCCTCACTTGTCTGCAAGGAGTAAATCACTTTTGTGATAACAACAAAAAATATTGTAATGCTATTTTTTAAATATCAAGCAATTTTTTATTAACAGAAGACATTTACATCTTGATTAAAGATTGGCAAAATTTCTTAGCAACACAGTGGGCGTTTTGAAAGTATCTTTTGTAATAGCTGTTTCTGAATCTTCGAAAAATCCTTCGGTTTGGTATAGCTTGACACTGATGATGATATTGTGCTTCTGTAAAAGTTACTTAAAGTGGCACCTACCATAAGGAAAATGTTCTTGATGGTGGTAAACCGTGGGGGAATATGATCAGTGCCACTGTCTGAAGTCCCCAAAGATTCATTGGTGCAGTAAATGGGCTTAGGATATATAATTTCTCATTGCTGCCTCCTTTCCAGAGGGACACACCATTTATGGCAGAGTTTGAGAAAATGGCGTATGCATTATTTGCTTGTATTTATACTGTCTTTGTTTACTTGGGAAAAAATAGGAATATGAAAATTTAGCTGCCACTTTAAATGAAGCAAGGGAAAAACTAAGTGACAAAGTGAGAGAACTTTCCAGATCTGCAGGCAAAGCACCCCTGGTGGCGGAGGCAGAAAAGCACGCACAGTACTTACAAGAACTGGCAAAGCAACTGGAAGAGTGAGTGCGTGGCCCACAGAGGTCTACACAGCAAGGGGCTTCAAGTGCAGCATCTTGTCCTGAGCCAAACCAGGCTGTCCCCTGGGCTAACTGGGTCACCAGAACTGGGTGGGGGCAGGGAGGTCACAGCCAAAGCCCTGGGCCCAAGTCAGAAGCAGACCTGCAATGGGGGAGCAAATTCCCGGCCACATCCTTGGGGAAGGGGCTGCAGAGGCCACCACCTCAGAGCTCTACTTACCCAAAGAAATGGGAAGGCTTGGAGGGACATCAGCTCTGGGCAGGAAAGGCTGTGGGAGCACCTAGCCCATCCTGTCTTCCAGGATCAAGAAAAATGCCAGTGGGGATGAGCTGGTGCGCTGCGCTGTGGATGCTGCCACCGCCTATGAGAACATCCTCAATGCCATCAAAGCGGCCGAGGATGCAGCCAACAAGGCCACCAGCGCGTCTGAGTCTGCTCTCCAGGTGGGCACCTGCCAGTAACTTCTCTAAATTCACTCTTATTAGACAGCTTATTTCCTTATTTTTCTTTCCATGTGTACCAAGGAATATAAAAAAGCATTATTTTAAATCAGAACATGCTACATAGAGTAAAATTCACTCTAGGTATGAGTCATTTCTGTATTGGACTATTTCGTGTCTGTAGTGCAGCTTATAAACTGTAAAACCAGTCAGGCATGATGGCTCACACCTGCAATCCCAGCACTTTGAGAGGCTGAGGCAAGAGGATTGCTTGAGCCTAAGAGTTTGAGACCAGCCTGGGCAACATAGCGAGCCCTCACCTCTACAAAAAAATTTAAAAATTAGCTGGTGGTGGCACATGCCTTGTAGTCCCAGGTACTCTGGTGACTGAGACAGGAGGATTGCCTGAGCCTAGAAGGTTGAGGCTGTGGTAAGCCATGATTGTGCCACTGTACTCCAGCCTGGGCGACAAAGTGAGACCCCTTGACAACAAAAAAGAGAGAAAGAAAAAAAGAAAAACTACTTATAAAATCAGATATAAATTATACTGATTATCAATTTGAACCTAAATATATATTATATCTTTCTTCTTACCAGGTATGCCTTTATACTGTGATTAAGTATTAACATTTATTTATCAAACAATTGAATCATCATTTTCTCCCAACCATTTGGTCTTACATCTGGACATGTCTGTAGAGTCCTGTGGAATCCTATATGCACCATGTGGTATTCCTGTATCTTAAAATAAGGAACAAAATATTAAATATCAGAGCTGGTTCTTGAATGCTTCAAGATTTTATCTCCCTCACAGCTTGAAAGCCTGAGGACAACTAAGTTCTCTCTTCAGTTAGTGCAAGAGATATTGTACAAGTGACAAGGAACAACGAAAATAGGTGTCACATAATTTGTCAGTAATGTCACTAGAGATAAAGCCACCTCCCCAAGCCGTGTATGTCCACCTAGAGTCCTGACTGTATCTTTTAGGGAACAGTCAACTTCTAACACCCTCCTCCCCTTCAACCCTCATCCTTTAAAAATTAAAGATAAGGGCTTCAGGCTAGGATGAAAAATCTTACTCTGTACTTCCTAAGGTGTAGCATTTGTTTAAGGCTGATAAACGCTTTGCTTTCAGACCTTGATAAAGGAAGATCTGCCAAGAAAAGCAAAAAGCCTGAGTTCCAACAGTGATAAACTATTAAATGAAGCCAAGAGAACACAGAGGAAGCTACAGCAAGGTACTGGGGGGAGTGGGTGGTGGCAGGAATAGTCAGGAGCTTTAAGTGACCTCTGGCACCAGGCGAGGCAGCCCTAGAAGCAAATGCCCCTTTTGAATCTGTGTCCGTGCAAATGATACTTTTAAAATCTGATTTGTTTTATCAGTGTCATGCGTCCACCCAATATTCTAAGCATCCCCCATCTATCATGTATAAAATTATCTAGAGTCTTATAAATGTAAGTAAATCTTGAGGATGATAGGTCTGTTTGTGACAGCCTTTGTGGGGAAGGCAATTTTGATTCAACCCACTTGTGATGGTGACATTGGGAACCCACATATCAAGGTCATTCATTTTGGGTCATGAGAGCAATGCCTTCACTTTCTGAAGTCCTAAAATCTTAGCAGCTGAAATTCCCAAAAATCACTACCACTGTGAAGGGTGATCCTTTTTAAGTATAAATTTTACCTTTGGAAATTTTTCACCTATTTTATTTTATTTTTTAAATACACAGACTGAGTCTCACCAAATTTCTGCATACCCAAAAGTCTGTCTCTTGTGTTTATCTGGTCTCTTGGTCATTCATGAACCCACAGACCTCACTCTTCCTCTTAGTCCTTTCAGAGGGATTAAATGATGTCTTTGTAAATTCCTTCCCTCCCTCCCTCTCTCCTTTTCTCCATCCCTCCCTCCCTCCCTTCCTCCTTCCCTCCCTCCTTCCTTCCTTTCCTTACTTCCTTCTTCTGTCTTTCACATATTAAAAAATTAAACGCATGAATGATAAACAACAACAACAAAAAAGGCATACCATACAATCATTAGCCTAACAAATTTCAAGAATTCAGATTTCCTGGTATGACATTTGTTGCGTTATTTACAAAATTTGAGCTTGGAGGTAGACTCAGTGTTTTTTTAAAGAGTTAGGATACTAACTTCATTGCTATGTAAACCAACCCTGGAATCATAATTTAAGCCACATATCATCAATTTGGTCTTAAAGTATTCACTGCTCATTTTCTGTGCCCCAAGGATGGCAAACAATATTATCAGCTAAGAATGTCTGAAAGCTCCATTCCTTTCGTGGAATTTTTAAAATGTGTCAATTTGGAAATAAACAGAAGCAAGCAATGCATACTTTGTACCTATATTTGCATGGATGAGGATCTCTCAACAACACTCCTTTCTTGTCCTCTGAGAAGGCCTTCTTTCTGCACCATTCATTCTTCCATTCAGAAAAAATGTACTAATATTAAGCCCTGGCTGGTGCCAGACACCTGTCCTACGTGTTAGAACACAGTAGTGGATAAGACAGACACATCCTAGGCCGGGCTCAGTGGCTCAGCCTGTAATCCCAGAGCTTTGGGAGGCCAAGGTGAGTGGATTGTCTGAGCCCGCAGGTTCGAGACCTGCCTGGGCAACTTGACAAGACCTCATCTCTACAATAAACCAAAAATTAGCTGGGCGTGGTAGCGCACGCCTGTAGTTCCAGCTACTTGGAAGGCTGAGGAAGAAGGATCACCGGAGTCCAGCAGGTCGAGGCTGCGGTGGCCGGGAGCGGCCACTGCACTCCAGTCTGGGCGACAGAGTGAGACCCAACTCAAAAAAAAAAAAAAAAAAAAAAGACACATCCCTCACTAAGCAGAGTCTCTTACTCTGAGCAGAGTGGGAGTCTAGCCCTCCCCTCTCCGTTTCCTCCTGTGCATTTCCAAGGAGCCTGTTACCACAAGGCTCTGATATGCTGCTGGCCACTTAACCAGAAGACCACAGAGCTGTGGGTCTGGGCATGTGCCGTGGGCATCTCTGGGATTACCCCTAAGGAGCAAGTCTGCTCAGTACTGTGCAGACATCAGCTACTTCAGGGGCCACAGCTACCAATGAAGAATCAAAAATGCCCAAAGTAATTGTCTTTTGATGCTTTACTTTATTTTAGAAGTTAGTCCGGCTCTTAACAACCTACAGCAAACCCTGAAAATGGTGACAGTTCAGAAAGAACTGATAGACACCAATCTCACAACTGTGCGAGATAACCTTCGTGGAATACAGAGAGGTGAGCATCTTCCTAATACACTGGACTTGGCTTCTTTTGTTGAACCGTTTAAATACTTACAGCTCTCTATTTGTGTGTGCATTAGGTGACATCGATGGTGCGATTGGCAGTGCAAAGAGTATGATCAGAAAGGCCAATGACATCACTAATGAGGTTCTGGATGGGCTCAACCCCATTCAGACAGACGTGGAAAGAATTAAGAATACCTATGGGAGCACACAGAGTGAAGACTTCAACAACGCTCTGACTGATGCGGATAACTCAGGTATCAGGCATTTTTTGGTCAGACAACTTCGCCATTTTCCCTATTAGTATGTGCTTTGGTCCATTTCAGTCCTTCCCTGGTAGAGTCTGATTTCAGACATTAGAAAGCAGCTTCACATAGTACATTCAAAGAGTAGACTATAGATAGTCAGTGTCAATATGATACTGCACAGGCAGGACTTGCTCTTTTGTAACTTGAGAAGGACCAGATAGGAATTTTTTTTTTTAATTCATCAACAGTGCTATTGATTTTCTTTTTTACAGAGTAGAGATATCATTTTCTAAATTATGAGGCATTGAATTATGATTGATATTAAGAATCAGAAAACAAAGTTGTGGGGGGCTTTTTTTGTCTGTAGTAGTCTAGGAAAAACATTTGGTACTAGATTGCAGTGTAAAATCCACAGTGTCAAGTGGCCTTCCCTTATCCATGGAGGTACATTCCAAGTCCTCCAGTGGATGCCACAGATATACAAAACCCTATATAGTCTCTGAGTTTTTTTTCAGTTGATGGCCCAGACAGCTACTAAGTAACTAATGGATGGATAGCATAGACAGCATGGAGGGTTAGCATGTGGGATAGCATGAGATTTCATCATGCTACTCTGAATGGCATGAAATTTAAAACAGGAAAAGTTTATTTTTGGATTTTTTTAAATTTAATATTTTTGGACCACAGTAATGGCCAGTAATAGAAACCTCAGTAAGGGGGGATGACTGTACCTGATTGTGATTCATGCTGTTCATGATCTGGGGCCCAAACCTGCCATCTGACTAATACTATCAGTAAGAACATCTACACTTAACCTTTTCTCAACGCACAATTTTAAATTTCTGTTTTCTGATCTCACCAACAGTGAAGAAATTAACCAACAAACTGCCTGATCTTTTGAACAAGATTGAAAATATCAACCAACAGCTGTTGCCCCTGGGAAACATCTCAGACAACGTGGACAGAATACGAGAACTAATTCAACAGGCTAGAGATGCTGCCAATAAGGTGGGTGTGTCCTCACATGGTCAGTTGCCAAGACTAGCTCTTTGAAAAGTCACCGCATTCGTCAAGAAAGGAAAGGTTGGCCAGTCCTCAACCAAAGTAAGAGGACTGCTTGAGACCGGGCTCGATGGCTCAGCCTCTAATCCCAGCACTTTGGGAGACTGAGGTGAGTGGATTGCCTAGGCCTGGGAGTTCGAGACCAGCCTGGGCAACTTGGTGAGATCTCATCTCTACAATTAATGAAAAATTAGCCAGGCGTGGTAGTGCGCTCTTGTAGTTCCGGCTACTTGGAAGGCTGAGGCGGCAGGATTGCTGGAGCCCAACAGATCGACTGCGTGCTAGCCTGGGCGACAGAGTGAGACTCTGATTCAAAAAAAAAAAGAGACCAACTTTAGACCAGGAGTTGGCGACTAGCCTGGGCAACATAGTGAGACCTCATCTCTACAAAAAATAAAATAATTAGTCAGGCATGATGGCACACACCTATAGTCCCAGGTACTTAGGAGGTTGATGCAGAAGGATCATTTGAGCCCAGGAGTTTAAGACTGCAGTGAGCTAGAACAGTGCCACTGCATCAACCTGGGCCACAAAGTGAGACCCTATCTCAAAAAAAATAAGGCATTTGTTTATTCAAAAATTGGGTGACCCTCTTGCCCTCATTCTTTGGTTGCTTGAAATATTAGGATTGATTTCCTCTTGTCATTCTTGAAAAGTACTCATGACCTTTATCCCGTAAATCATCTGGTATATGTGAGACCTGAAACAGTTTTCTTCTATTGAGTTTATTCAGGCAGAAAGAAGGATTTTCTTCCAGCCCCCAATTGGTAAACTGTTATTGCGAGTTCAACTGAAGGTCCTGTGGCCAGGACCTAGTCTCTTGATGTAACTTGAAAGTTGCAAAATCCACCTTTTTTTAGAATGACAGCAATTTTACATCATTGAAGCACTGATTCAACAGCCCTTCTTTTTTTAACCTGATATTCTTTGCTTGAATTTCTGACACTCAGCTCTTAAAATTTGTTTTGTCCTAGAATAGTATAGATTAAATTTCTCATATTTTTCTGTATTTCCTAGCCAGCCCTTTGTGAGAGGTTTGGAGGGAGAAGAGTCAGGAGCCAAGTTAGAATGTCACTGCCCTGGAGGTGTCGTGGGTAATTTCTAGGCTCAACATAACTTCTTTTGAATCTGCTCTTTCTTCTAGGAAAGAAAAGTATTCCAAACCTAAAACCTTTAACAGAAAAAAAAAAAGAGCATAATGCAAAGTTTGGGTTAAAAGCCAAATGAATAAGAATGGGCTCTCGCATTTGCCCTTCTGGGTTCACTCACTAATTTATTTATTTTATTTATTTTATTTTTTTTTGAGTTGGAGTCTCACTCTGTCACCCCGACTGGAGTGCAGTGGCCACTCCTGGCCACCACAGCCTCGACCTGCTGGGCTCCGGCGATCCTTCCGCCTCAGCCTTCCATGTAGCTGGAATTACAGGCGCGCACTACCACGCCCGGCTAATTTTTTGATTTATTGTAGAGATGAGGTCTCGCTGCCCAGGCGGGTCTTGAACCCACGGGCTCAGGCAATCCGCTCACCTCAGCCTCCCAAAGGCGCGGGATTACAGGCTGAGCCACCGAGCCCGGCCACTCACTAATTTATTTAACAAAATTTGAAGTGCATTGTAGCACAATGGTTAAGAACTGGTTAACCAAGCGGTCTTGGTTTTCATTCTTGCTCTGTCACTTATGAGCAGGGGAAACCTCTCTGTGCCTCAGTTTCTTCATCTGCAAAGCAGAGTAAATAACAATACCAACCTCATGAAACTGTTAGAGTTACATGAGCTGAAACAGTGCCTGGCATGGTAAGCACCATGTTAGTGGAAACATAAAATTCACAAACAATCAGCAAGTGCTTTTGAACACCTCGGTTTCACTGGCATTCCTTTGGGAGTTGAGGGCACAGAAGTTATTAAGGTCATAGTCCTGAACACAGACTGCTCACTGGCCACTGGGGGCAGTTTCTTAGACTAAGCTAAGAAGCTGGAGAGAGGTGTGCCCTGTGTGTCTTAGAATATATTTCTTTGACTTATGCATCAGAGGAAAAGCTAATCGCTAGCTGAGTTAGATAGAGTTCTATCTAGAGGCTGGGCTCGGTGGCTCAGCCTGTAATTCCGCACTTTGGGAGGCTGAGGTGAGTGAATTGCCTGAGCGCCGGGGTTCGAGTTCTATCTAGAAAGGCTCAGAATAGCACTCATGGCAGAACTAACAGACAAGTATATGAATGTTAAGCACATTGTGGTTTTTTAGTCACACAAAAAAAGATATGGAAAAAAGCCACATATTTACACTAGTAAACGTGAATGTGCTGGTGTCACATGGATAAATCTAAAAACATAGTGCCCAGCAAAGAAAGCAAATTATAGAAAGATGTGTACAGATGGATATAGTTTATGTAAAAATGTTTAAAACATGAAAAATAAGATTAGTTACAATTTATACATAAATGTATATTTAGTTAAATATACATATTCACATATACATATGTATATGTCTGTGTATATTATATGTATTATATATTAAAAAATGAAATTACTTAAAAAATGAAATCAAGATGATATACAAAATACAAGTCCACTGACTATATGCTTGTATGTTGAGGTAATTCAAATTATTCAGAGTTTCTAAACATTTACTCTCAACTTCATACTTAAATATGATGAGCCAGTCCATATATTTAGTTATTTATATAAACCTGCATGAGAATTTTTAAGAGAACTCAAATCCAGAGTAGTGGTGACCCCTGAGAAGGGAGAGGATTGGAGACAAAGGGCTTTAGGTACAGCTGTAATGTTTTATTTTTTAAGATGATGCATATATAGTTGTATTTGTCTCCATCTTTCTCTTTTTTTGATATAAAAAGTCCCATTTTAATTTTAAAGAGTTAAAAGGACTAGTAGGACTTTGCCAGGTGTCAAAAAGCAGAAGAGTATGCCGAGAGGGGACTCCGATGTGGCTGGGTGTTCTGAATGATAGGAAATAAGCAGAAGAGAGAGGTATAAAATGAACCCCTAAATGTGGGTCCCATTGCAAAGCCCCCCAAGTGCAATGCCTGGTGTGTGGACGATCCCCTGGAAATATGCAGATGCTTGACAGATAAAATGTAGGCTTGGTGTGAATTGCATTCTGATTGTTATGGATTACTTGTTTTCTGTATTTTGGAGCAGAGCTAGGCAAGATTGGTTCACAGACCAGTACTCATCAGAGAACTTTTGTTACTGATCTGTTATATTTAAGTGTGGAGTTGAGAGTAAATGTTTAGAAGCTCTGAATAATTTGAATTACCTCAACATGCAAGCATGTAATCAGAGGGCTTGTATTTTGTATATCATCTTTATTTCATTTTGTTAGTAATTTCATTTTTTAATGCATGTTACAAAAGTATTTGTTCATGATAGATTGGAGGGGGGATAAATAGTTCTTTACCACAAAGAGCTTAAAAGATACTATTTTAGAGAGTCTCAACGCACACATTGTTTAGGACCGAATGCCTGTAATAGATGAAACCACAGCATGTAATATATTCATGGGAAATGCTTTAAGAGTGTGTTGTAAAATTATTTTTTATGTATTGCATGTCTACTATATGCCAGGCACCATGCCAAGTGCATCCACAGATGTTACTTCCTCTACACAAAAACCTAGGGTTGTAATGATCATTATTATTATTATAATTATTGTTATTACTGCTGACACAAAGGATTAAAAGTGCTTCTCAAAGACCCCTGGCTAATAAGCAGGAAAAAACATGAATGTTCCATTATCTAGTTCCTGAAACAGTTTCAGGAGTTTATAATCCAGATTGATAGCTACCAAGTCACAAGCCACCTCTCTGAGCACTCCCACGGTCTTCACAGGAGACTATTTGACACCATGTAACTTATTCCTCACAGGTTGCTGTCCCTATGAGGTTCAATGGTAAATCTGGTGTCGAAGTCCGATTGCCAAATGACCTGGAAGATTTGAAAGGATACACATCTCTGTCTTTGTTTCTCCAAAGACCTGACTCAGGAGAAAACACGGGGACTGAGAATATGTTTGTGATGTACCTCGGAAATAAAGATGTGAGTATTGCTTGGATATCTCTTTTGTTTTTAAAACAGCATGTTTTTCAAGTTTGTACTTTTGAAACACGTGGCACAACTGTGTCCCTCCCATGAGCACAACAGGTAATCATCCCACCAAGACATCTACAAATCCCATCCCCTCCTGCCCTCCTCCCTGTGGTGATGGCACCCATGAGGGACCTCCCGTGTGACTCGGATTGTTAGCTGCTGGCAGACTGAGAGTCCTTCCCAGATGAGCCCAGCATGTGAGCACATACACACTGGGGAGGATGATTGGCCCCCTCTCCATCCTGCTAGGTGGTATGATTGGCACTACACCACCAGGGCAGCAATATGGCTTCATGGAAATCAACAGTAGCTCTACCTCACGGAATTGTGACCCCAGGCTCTTCCTGAAACCCCCAGCCACAGCCCTGTTCACAGTGGTCATCTCCCATTGTGGGAGTTTTTCTGTTCTCTTAATAAATCCTGCTTTCACACACACACACACACACACACACACACACACACACACACACACACACACACACTTCTGCCTAATTAGGAAATCATTAGTGAACATTGTATGTAAGAATTCTTCAGATCAACACTATGATTAATTACATGCTTCAAGGTGTTGGTACTTTATTTGTAGCTTTCTTATATCATGACTTTTTGCTTTGTATTATGACAAAATGCATATTACTTTATTCCTTTAACAAACGTATGCCATTTACCTACTATACTCCACATCCTGGATTTATGATTTATGATAAGCATAAATATGTTTCTTGAGTGTATTTATAAATTAAAGTAGTTAAAGTGGTAGATTTTATGCTATGTACATTTTACCACAATTTAAAAACATTTTGTTTCTACTCCAAGGTGCTCACATGCTATCAGGAAAGAAAGATACATAACTGACCATGATAACATAGACATTTTATAACAGAGGCATGCACAAAGTGTTAAGAGAATGTAATATGCTACTGGGAAAACAAAAGGCTAATTGTCTCGATAATAACTAGTATAGGAATCAGGGGAATAGGGGTTCCTTGTGGGAGAAAGTGGGCTAAGGATGCTTTGGTTTTGTGACGGAAGCCGGTAATTACTGCTCCTGCTCATAAAGGAATTGCTATACCTAAATTTATTGATAATTGAGTAGTTGGTGTAAAGGAGTGGGGCAATAGGCCTAGTAAATTTGTGGATCCGATAAATAAAATTAGGGAAATTAATATTAGAGATCAGGTTCGGCCTTTATTGTTGTGCATAGACATTATTTGTTTAAGTACTAGTTATTTGTTTAAGTACTAGTTGAATTAGCCATTGCTGTAAAGAGATAAATCGGTTGTTGACTAGGCGGGTTGAGGTGGGAAATAAGATAATTGGAAATATAATAATTAGTATTACTACTGGTAGGCCTATTATTGTAGGGGTAATGAAAGAGGCAAATAGATTTTCGTTCATTTTAGTTCTCAAGGGGATTTAAACGTTTGTATATTAATATTTATTAAGCTTGGGTTAAGGGGATACACCAGTTTTGAAATAATTAGTTGAAATAAAATGAAAAGTGTTAGTGTTACGGCTAAAATAGTAGTAAATCATGTTGATATATCTAGTTGGGGCATTTCACTGTGGAAAGATTTATACTTTCAGTCTTTAACTTAAAAGGTTAATGCTGTATAAGCTTCACAGTGTTAATTAAGTTATTGATGCTGATCAATCTTCGAAATATTTTAATGGTACTAATTCCTCAACTGCACCTCACCACAGCCAGTTCCTCTCATGACGCTTTCTTGGCACTGGTGTCAACAGTAGCAGTACTGAACTCTAATACCTTGTTTCCCAGTATTGAATTCTCTGACCTGTTTATCCCTTCTGCTCTCTGACATTTTACCTACTGGGCTCTCCCATCCATTGACCCCGTTTTTTTCACAGCTTCTCACCTCCCTTCTCTCACTACTTCATTTCTCACCCAGTTTAGACACCAGGGTTCTTCATCTTCATCACTCCCATGAAGGCTTTGTAACTCTCTCCCTT